ATGATAATTGTTTCTCTGAGAAAAAGCGATTTGACTCTTAAAATCGAAGCATTTCAGTTAAGTAGAATTCCTTTGAAAAATAAGTAAGATAAAAACAATAAGGATGCATACCAACTGATATCACTTACACAGTAGTAGAAAAGAAAGTCCAAAGAAAAATTTTGTCACACACTTTTTCTACTGTAAATTTAATATGAACGAATTAATAAACAAGTTTTAACGCCCTTAGGTTGAAGCTTAAATTTCAGAGTTAGCCTTCTAGTGGAAAGTATAGGGTTACATTCAATCTGTCTAAGTTGTTAGGGCGAAAGATTTAAAAAAAAAAAAAAAAAAAAAAAAAAAAAAAACCAACTTTCGTGAGATTCTGTGCACGTTTAACAGTAAATAAAATTTTACAGTGCTAGAATTTCTACGCTATGCATATTAACAGAAAACTGACATTGCAGCTAGTTTGTTTATTGGAATCTATTGCTCTGATAAATGATGGCTCATATTATTTTCGTCTTCATTAATAAACAGTAGCATTGCATATTTTTGCACTGCCAAACACTATCACAGGAGAGTGCATTGGACTATTATAGTAGTAATTTTCTAGGACATTGCTTAAGTATATTTTATACAGTTCCTCCTCAATTCTAGAAGCACATAAACCAATTTTGATATTTTCCAGATATTTCTTAAAGCTTTTAAAAATAAAGTAAAATATTACAGAGCTTGAAGATAATGCATGCATTACCGCTTTACTTTATCAAAATAATAAATTATTATAAGCATGAAAATCGTTACAAACGCATTGAAATTTGGGAAACGTTAGCAGGACCAGCGAGATAAAGTAAAATATGTGTAGCGTCTGAATAACATTTACTTTCGCATTAAAAAAAAAGAAGGCACATAGACATAGATAAAGATCTTGAAGATCTTTCCCTCTTGAAAATCTAATCTCTTTAACACCTTTATATACAATCTTAACCACTTCTTGCTTATATATTACATATATACTTAAAAAACTATCTCAATAATTTATATTGGCGATCCAATAGCAGTAGAAAAAAGAATTTGACCTATTACAAAACGTTGTCCAGTTATAGTGCTGCTGTTGCACTTTTCATAATCTTCCAATGTTGTCGATCTTAAGTAGATTACAGGGTATGTGTTTACTGATCTTACAGATGATTACATCAGTCAGATTGCAATTATTAAATCATACTAAACATTTTATTTAACTAGAATAACATGTAATATTCGATGATTATTTTTACTGAATTAAAAATTATACAAAGCTCCATTTTAATAAAATATGCACTTTTAATTTGTTAATTCTTTGCTAATAGAATAACATACTAAGAATAATTTACAATAATTTCTATTCCATACATCCATAAAAATACGTTGCATATACATCATGGAAAAACAAGCTAAAAATATAGTTTTAATTTAAATACTCAGATGAAAATTATTCATTAATTTTCAGTATTTTTGTTGTGCCTTTGTACACCCATCCAAACCAGGACCTCTCGAATACGCGACGAGTGTGCTACCATTACACCAAGAAGACATGCTGGAAGGCGGCAGACAGTACCTTATATTTTGTTACATATAAAATGAAAAATGTAATTTAGGGGTAGATTTAACATGAAATATTTCTTTTAGGTCCTTCGATTCCACTAGATACGTTCGAGAAAAATTCATTTCAAATGCAGTAGACAAAGGATTAACGACATCAGCTCTATACTTTCAGGATGTTTTTTCCCATCCTGACATCAGAATTTAACCTACAAGCCATAGTATAGCATTAGTTGTCCTAATTTTCTATAATTCATCTGTGTTGTTAAGACAACATGTTTAAGTGTTCAGCAAATACAGTTCTTTAAAAACGAAGCTACAGAAATGGATATTTTTTAAAGAACAATTCTAAATTAAGAAGCGAAAGAGGGGATAGCGAAAGGAGTTTCGTGTACATGAGACAAGAATTTCAATAATCCCAAAGCATGAGAAAATGCTTATTATCCATTTCTTATTTCGAAGGCGGAAGATTATAGTAAAAACAATTTTAAAATGATTAAAACTGGAAATAAAAGTTGGAATTATAAGAAAGTCATACAAATGATCGATAACACACAACTCTTAAACTGCCGATCATAAAGCTAAAATTTTACGTTGAACTACCAGTTATTTTAATTTATAATTTAATTGCCTTTAAACTGCTGTTACAGTCTTACTGTAGCGTATTCTTTTGGTTTTAAATAGCCTTGTTTGATAAAGCCTGAAGGAAAATTTCATTATTTCACTTGACATTAAGCGACAATCGAAAACAATGCGATAAAAAGGTGGAATAAAGTATGATAATTCGAGCAAGTAAAAAATTGCCCAAATACGAAAATGCAGATATTAAATTATGCACAGAAATTTAATCAAAATATGCTTTTCTTATTTCTCGTACTTTAAAATTCTAAGCTGAGAATTAGCTGCATATATTATAAACCATGAATATTTAGTCTTATATTATGCAATAAATAACGGGCGTAAAATCACTGAAAGCTTATAATCGATGGGAAAATATTTCTCAGTGTTTGTTTCTAACATGTTCTGAAACTGATTAAAAAAAAAAAAAAAATCCTTCGCTTTTTGATGGAGCACACCCAGCGGAATGGATTCAAGGATCCTCCCACCCCTCTTTTCTTACCACCAAACGACGACTTTCGGCTCGCCAGTATTTTAAATGCCTCCATGTCGCACAGACAGTATACAGCTATAAATATGTATGCCTTCCTGCTAACCACTATACAATGTGAGAAGTCCAAATTACAACAGAACACTTACAGGAGTAAGCGTTTGAAAATGCACGAAGTAGTAATATTTGTTTATAAAATACATGATGGAACTTACTTGAATAAATGAAGACCTTATAATAAAAATTCCAAAATGCAAATGCAGTGAAATTAAGAATTTGTTTAATACTTCAACCGTCAAATTAGTGTTCAATATAAAATTTCTATACATTATTCCCCTCCCATTTGCTGCATCTTTTGAGCACGAATTGTTTCAGTTTGTTTCTCCCATCAAAATTTCACTGGAATTCAAAGAATTGAATAGAAAATTCTAAAACTGTTCAACATATATCAGATCGTTAAAATTAGAAAAGTTCTCACATATAACGCATGTTTAACGGAAATCATTTATCCCCCCCCTGTTCTAAAGAACAAGCATGAGAATTCTTTACAGTCAAACTTAAAAGCGCAAATAATATATATATATATATATAATATATATAATTAAAATAAGGAAAATTTGAAATACTTTGAACTTAATCTGGAAAAAAGCAAAAAAATATGCGTTATCATAATTAAAATTTGGTATTGTTTATTTTCTATATCAGAACTTATAAAATAAAGATTAGAGCTTATTCTGAATCCTCCTTAAATTTAAATCCACATCCTTAAAACACAGTGAGTGTCAAAAACGTGGTAGCTGGCGACCTTCCATGATTGACCTTCATTCGTTCTTCCTGACACAATTCCGTTCCGGTTAAAAACATGCTTCAACTCCTTGACAAAAGGAAACAACCCCTTGCAAATCTAAACCCCCAAGCAGGACTACCAGCGAATCACAGTTTGGTCTCACCCCTAAAGCTAATCATCTGTGGAGGGGCACAAAATGCTTAAAACTTCAGTCAATTTTTTCTTTTTTTAAGCTTTTCGAAAGTTATTTTTAATGTCGCTAAGTTTTATTTCATTTCAAGCTTTTTTCAAACGGATTTTTTTTTTTTTTTTTTTTTTTTTTTAATATCTAAACCTAAAATAAAATTTCTTCAAAACATAGTACCAGGGTTGCTTTAATTTCGATGTAATAATTATTCTAAGAACCAAACGCTTACATCTCAGTCAAAGAAAAATACGTATCTAAATATTTCAAAATAAAAAATAAATTATATTTTGTAAAGTAAATTAGCTAAGAAATAATTTATTTCCTATTTCTGCATTCTGAAATTAGTTGATGTGAAAATAGGCAAGAAGAAACATTATAGTGCCGTAGATACGCAAAATTTCCTTTCTCTTGAAAAAGAGTTACCCATGTCAGTGGCTCTTGAAATCAAATGAGTTTATAATATTAAATTTGGTGAGCTGAATGGTTTTCTTGTTCATGGAGGAGGAAATTTTTTATTGACATGTGCCGTTTATATAATTCGTTCCATATTTTAAGCGGAATTAATTTACTATTTAGTACCTATTCATTGTTAATTAGCACTCAGTTAAATATATTAATATTGCAATTTCCTTTCGAGAATGTTTGAAAAATATGCATTACTTCTGCATATTTTGTTACTAAACTTACTTTTAAATTTGATATGAAGTTTTATTTCATAAAGTATTCGAAAAAATTGGAATTCTTCGTCTTAACTTCGCGAATTTGCTAAACTTGAAAACAGACAAGTCATCACATAACAGGAGGGAATGACACGTTGAAGCTCAGAGATAAGATACTCATCGCTTTCAAAAAATAAAATTTCGTTTTAAAATAAAACTTGCATTTAAAATCTGTATAAAAACTAAACAAACATATATCTGTGCACACATAAATATTGCATTTATACGTTTCGCATCTCACATGAATTCAGATTTATCAAACTAGCTTACGAAAGAAAATGCAAAGTGCTTGCTCTCAGTTTGCTAATCAGGTGCATGTATTCAGCAAAATGAGACATTGCCCTGTCCATTGTTTCTCGAGAATAATATGCGTATGTTCGTAACAAAGAGATTAAAATAACTTCTTGAAATTGTTTACGTAGTAAGTAGATCTGCATTAAAAGAAATGATAATTTTTAAGATGGATGCATTATAACATATTTCAACGATGTAAACTAAAGGATGAGAAAATATGTACATACATTTTAACTGTTTACTACCGTTTTGGGGATTTCAAGCTACATAAATATACTTTACTCGGTAACGAGGAATTGATATTTCTTCTTTGCTACAGGAATAGTTTTATATTTGAAATACTGTATATAAAAATATAGTTAAAAACCAATCGTTACCTGATTGTATAACATCAAGCAGAGTTGCACCCATGGCAGTCTTCTTGTGTTTTAATTTGTCGAAGATCTCCTTCGTCAAATGCTTCTTCAATAAAGATTTGCAATCTTTTGCATCCTGAAGTTTACGAAAGCCGGCTTCTAATTTTTCAAGAACTGCCTGATCAACCATTTTTGATGATGTCGTGATGCCGCTTCTGTAAGAAAAAAGAAGTAAAAAGTGACTTCGATGGAGACGATCAGTTGAAAGAAACCCCGATGGGAAGTGTCAGCCCTCTATAGTACTTTCGGACCTCTCGTTTCAAGCACTCAACTGTGAGTACAGTACGTAGCAAAATTCTACGAATCTAGCTCTATGATACTTTGTACCTTAGATAGAAGAAGAATCAAGTGAACCCTATTGGATGAGTGACCACGACGGCGCATGCTCACAAGCGGAAGTTGGGTGTCGAGGGAAGATGAAGGGGATGGTGACATTATCGATTACTTATTTACTCCTCAGAGGAAGTTTATATTACGCTTTTCGGAAGCAACCAATTCCTTTCATGGAAAAACTGCTAAGCAAATTAATTTTAAAGAATTGTGCTATTGTACAGAAAAGCAAGAAGCAGTGACGTATTTTGTTTATATGATTATATCACGAATGCCTGATTAGATAGACAAATTGCCTTCAGTGAGTGGCGTGTGCAAGATTTTTCCTGCGGTGGAAATTTAAAATTGTCTTACTTACTCCAAAATACTTATCATCTATTAAGTAGCTATTTTTAGCATCTCCTTCAAGATAAAAAGGATGCATTATTTTATTAATACTTTATTTGAGTTTAAAAGAATATTTAATTATGATAAAAAACAAAAATAAAATGTAAAGAGATACTGATAATTAATTTTTTTAGGAAAGAAGTATTAGAGATTCTCAATAATTGAATTTATCTACTTATTATGCGTCAACATAGTGTCTTTATTTAAAATTTTTAAATAACGTGATTTTTCATTTATATAATTGCAGAATTCCAATTAAAAAGAAAGATGAGAAATTAAATTCACAGGAAAAAAATTCAGTGCATTTAGAATAGAATTCAAGTGTGAATTCTTGGTTAATAACAGAAAGTATGGAATTGAAAATTCTATTAAATGGATTAAGGAAAATGAGATTAAGCGATTAATTATTGAGAAAATTTGAAAGGAATGAAATCTGTTTCCTAGTGCTTTGAATTAAGATCTGCAGTGTTATTTTGCTTGTTTAAGAATATCTCTGCAAAACAGCATTAATCTACAAATTAAACGGTTCAATATTTTATCTATCTGTGAGCAATTTTTGTCAATAGACGCGTTATGTAGTATCGGCATTGGATACCTCGAGTATTTAAATACTGTAACGGAACTGTGCTGATCTGAAAGGAAGTAATTGGAAAATTTATTGTTCTCGATCCTGCTGTACAAATGTTTTCTTCAAACATACTGCTCTATTTTTTAATGCGTTAGATGATTAATGAATTTGTTAACATGGAATGAAAACGAAAAAAACATTTTAGAATATAATGCTAAAATTTCTGCTAAAATGTAATGAATTAAAATAACTAAAAAAGGTTAATATTTCTATGGAGAGATTAAAGAATACCTATCAAATAAAATATGAACAGGTAATAAATTTAAACGGCCTTTATGCTCAGAATAGATAATTTATGGTTTATTGAAATTTTAAACTGGTTCATGGTGAAAATTTGTATGCTTATATTTGTATGCTAATATTTGTCTACATTTTGTCACATAGATTTGTAACAGACACCGCACGTAATTCTTATCGTAATATTATTTAGTAGAAAATCAATGTGTATTTTAATGTTTCCCCCCACGACTTCAGATAAGTTATCATTATATATGTGATTTACGACTTTTAAAGGGAATATTAAATTGAGGAGCATAATTTGTAATTCTCACTATTGTAATTTTTACTTTTTGTTAGTTGTTTATTTTTACAGTTGTACACTATACTTGTAGAGCGATTAAGTTTCTATGAGAGCAAGAAATATGAAAAATCAGTTATAACCCTCGCCGGGATTCAAGCCCCGAATCATGTGTTAACCAGCTGAACGGACTACCAATCATACAATAAAGGCATACAGTACGGAAGCCGAAAATTTACTGTGTAATCACATGAGTATTTTCGACAGTCAGCACAGATTTTACTAACGACAAAGTTGCTGCATGTTTCTACAATTTTGACGAAAGTTCTGTTTCGATATTCTCGGTTACTTTTTCTAATGCTGATGATTTCATCACGAACTTTTCCGCACAAAAAGCGAGATTTTCAGCTTTACATTTTTAGAAGGCAGTTTCGATCGAGCATTTTTTTACTAAGTACTTATCTTCAATGCTTGCTTTTTACTTCTTTTGAGTTTACTGCTCTTTTCAGGTCAAATTTTTACTGCTTTCACAGGATTTTCAAATATATATATATATATTATATATATATTTTTTTTTTTTTTTTTTTTCAGTTTTGCCTGGCAAAACTGGAAAAAAAAAAATTTTATTCTGTGCTAGTACTTGTCTTAGTTTCTTACTTTTAATCTTAAACTCTACAGTCATCAGCTGCAATTACAAAATTTTCTATATGGTAAGAGTGACTTCTAACTAATATATTTCGAAATACATTTCACATATTTTCTTTTAATTTATTATTTTTTTCCCTACGCGTGTGCAAAATCTTCTATTCAGTTTTAAACGTATTGCAGAGTCATTAGGTTACTCTGAAGCGGGAGATGTGAAAAATGTGCAATGCCCTCGCCCGGACTCGATCCTGGACCTCTCGAGTATGCGCCGAGTGTGCCACCGTTACACCACGAGGCCATGCTGGAAGGAGGGAGAAAATACCTTATAATATAATGCATGAGTGCAAACGGATATAACTTTAAAAATATATGCAACTTACAGTTTGATTACAACATTTATCGAGATAGACGATTTTTTTTTCCTTCTTGTCATTGTATCCTTTGAGAGATCCTTTAGCATGGAGACATTGCCAGTCATTTAGTAGCACGGTAGATAATTGTGGAAATGGCAAGATAGTGAATTTTTCAAGACAACTTTTATCCTTTAGAACAAAGGTTCTGAAACCGGAGGTTGGGGGGAAATTTCCTCTAATGAGGAAAATTCATAGTTTCAGGGGGTGGAATGCCGTCAGTCTTTTATTTAGCTGTGAATCATTTAGTTTTATTTTATAAGTATAAGAAAGTACTTTTATTCAAGTTTTGGTATGTATCAGCATTTTCTCTACATTTTTGTTTAATTTATAAAACACATTAAAATATAATCTAAATTTAAATAAATGCATATGAATTTTTCGAGTTTAGTAAAGGAAGTGGAATTATTGTCCAGCAATTATGAAAGCTCCGCTTAGAGTAAAAAAGGTTGAGAACCGCTACTGCAGAAGCAATTCAAAGACTTTGAAACTGTTGCCAGGAGGTCGGGACAAGGTGACAGGAAAAAGGGAACGGGAAAAAAAAATTACTTCTCCCCAGATAGGTTTGTGTCTGTGACTGCTCATCGCAACATATATATTTTAAGAACTTCAAAAACGATTAAACTTTATGTTTAAGAATCTTGAGAATCTTGAGGAACATTTAATTATTACTCACGAATGCAATAAAGCATACTAATACTTACATTTAATGAACAGCAAGCATGGATTAAATTTGATGGGTGAAGCAATATCACTTACAGCAGAAACAGAACTGAATGTAACATCTAATTCGCTTTAACATACACCGTACTACTACTACTAACCCTACTACTAACCTGCAATTATTTATGGGTCTGGGCAGACATGTTGTCACATCTTTTGTTTTTCTACTCAGCTTAGTGTTGGAGATCTAAAACATCAGGGCAACCTGCCTTTCTCTAGCAGTATTTTAAGAAAAGAAAAAAAAAAAAAAAAAAAAAAACTGCATTCAGTTTTAGTTTATTGTTTAGAAGAAAAGTTTTCCTGCTACAAATCATACTTTTTATTAGTTCCAACTACATTTCAAATTGAAGCGCATTTTATAAATGAGATTTACAGTGGTTTGTTAAAGTGGACGTGACCTTGGGTGCGTAGACAACAGACAGTTTTGACACGTCATATCTTTGTGAAAAGAAGAAGGGGGGAAAGTAAATGAAGAGAATCAGAAAGAGAGTTTGTTGAACATTTTGAATCCTACATCTGAAATGTTTGAGCTCTTAAAAATCGCACGATCGAATCCCCGAGAATGAAACTTTTAATTTTAACAATTTAAAAATTGACAGCCATTATACGAGTGCAGTGAAATTTTTATTTATTGGACTAGTTCAATTTTGAAAAAAAAACCATTCAGTATATTTCATGAATATTAAGATTACTATTCTTGGCGCAATAGTTCGACACTTTTAAAACAAGGCAAATATATTAGTTTATATTTTGTGCTGAAATGCTATTTTAGGCCCATTATCTTATTATTTCTAATTAGGATACCTTTTATGATATATTAATATAAGATATCCCTTTCATATTACATGTAAGAGGAACAGACAGATCATAAATAATAAGACAGTACATAAATAAATAAAGATGAAAAAAGAAACAAATGGAGATAAGGTATTCAACAGTACAGTTATATAGCTAATTGAAGTATAAAAACAAAATATAGAAATAAATAAATAACTTATATTTTAGCATAAAAAATAGGCACTAATTTTTAAAGAAAGGAAAATAAAAGTTTAAAAGAAAGAGAGAGGGGAAGGGAATGAATCTAAGTTATCAGTAAATCGATAACAATTTTTATTTTAAATATAAAATTATGTTTTAATTATAAACATTCTTATTCAAAATAAATACAAACCAAGCGGCAAAATACGAGTGACTACAGATGTGGAAATAACCAAAAAATTGGTAAATAAATAAACTCAAAAGATCGTCCGCACTCTCAAAATCAGCGCTTTCCTTTGATATCAATAGCAGATTAAATGATTGAGATTTAGTTTCAGAAGTGCTCTTTATTTATTTATTAATCAAAGCTTCTTTTAAAATAATAAACACATCCTAGCTCCCTGCAAGGATGGAAGATAGCCTTTTGTCGGTGTTTGCTTATTCAAAGAGATTTCAGATCGGTGTTGATAAGCTGCTATACACGGACTTAAAATGCTTAAGATAAGGTCAAGAGGTTTTCTCTTCGAACTAATTACT